CAGGCGGGGCGGGGGGCCCCCCCCCCCCCCCCCCCCGAGTGCACAAATTTTTGTGCACCGGGCCTCTAGTATATATATATGTATGTATATGAGCTCACCTTGAAAAAAAATACACCACTACAATTGTGGATTTGTCAATTTTTCCTTTTGGTTCTGGCAGTTTTTACTTTATATATATATTATGAAGTTGTGTTAATACATGTACACACATTTATAATTGTTATAGCCTAAGAAATTGACTCTTTATCACCCTAACCCTAACCCAAACCCTAATGTCCCTTTAACTCTGACAATCCTTCTTGTCTTAAAGTCTACTATAAACTAAATATAGCTACACCAACTTTCTTTGAGTTAGTGTTTGCATAGTACATATTTTTCTATCCTTTTAATTTCACCTTTCTATATAATTATTTTATTTTATTTTTTATAAATAGGGAGGGGAAGTGTTGTTTTTCATTTTTAAAATATATTTTTATTGATTTCAGAGAGGAAAGGAGAGGGAGAGAGAGATAGAAATATCAATGATGAGAGAGAATCATTGATTGGCTGCCTCCAGGTATGTGCCCTTGACTGGAATCCAATCTGGGACCCTTCAGTCCATAGGCTGATGCTCTATCCACTGAGCCAAACCAGCTAGGGCTCTATATAATTATTTAAAATCCAGTTGACAACATTAGTATTTTAGTCACAATGTCTATCTTTCTATATTTAATGTAAATACCCACTTACATTAAATTTAGGTTTAAGTCAATTAACTTACTCTTTTTTTTATCCCACCCTTCCTGTGTTTCTTTTTATTTCTTTTTTTGGGCCTTCTTTTGAATTATTTTTAGTATTCCTTTTTTTTTGTGGCAGCGGTGGGATGCGAATATTATTCTATTTTTTTTCCTGTAGTAGCTTGTTAGTTACATATTCTTTTATAATCCTTTCAGTGATTACCTTAAGAAAACATAATATTGATCCCAGACTTATTAAAGTCTAATGTAATATTAATAATATGATTACTACTACCGGGACCATGCGGGGACATTAAAGCATTTTAACTGCATTTACCTCTTGCAACTTTTTATTCTGCTGCCGTCATGAATTTTAAACCTCACAGGACATAATTGTTATTAGTTTTTTCAATCAATATTGACTTAGACTTATCCACATATTTACTTTCCACAGCTCTTTATTGGAATTTCCATGCTTCCTTTCAGGACCATTTCCTCTCTCCCTAAAGA